ACTAAAGTACAAAGCAGTGAAAATCATTAATAGGCAATCGTTCGATGGACTGAATTGCACAAAACGTATGATCGCACCGGCAGGTCTGGTGCGCGTTGCTATTTATTCTCTCTTCTCCAGCATATAATTAATTTTTGCAAACTTTCACAGGAACTATGTCTGGAACATTTAAACCTTCCCAAACACTGCAGATAATCGCTGCTTAACGTTCACAAAGTTAGCTGATGCGCAAATCCCCGAGTGACCCGGATCACTGGAAGGAGAGACTGACAAAAATGATTTTTGCAATTTTTGAAAGCACACTGGAAAATTTTTACTAAAACACAACAGCACCCCTCAAAAAAGGTATTTTTGAAAAAGAAAGAGAAAATTATAATAGAGGTTTCTCGTTGAAAGGAGATAGTTGAAAAAATAAACCACCGGTTGCCAAAATCTGATTGTACAACGAGTAATCAGGAAGTGAAATTTATTTAAGAACAACATTTTTGCTATCGTATGGGCTTATAATACAAAAGGAGATCACCGCCTTGCTTCCAGATGAAATGCTTCACCGTTCGGAGGTCCATTTCTGGATCTAATTTCTAAAATAATGCAGATATATAACCGAAAAAAGTGCAAAGATTCCCTTGAAAATTTCTATTTCATTAAAAAAAAAAAAAAAAAAATGACAGGGGCGGAAGGATACTGGAAAACTAAGACAAAAAAATTCAGATTAAAAAAAAGATATCTGTCTTTACCTAGCAAAAAATGCGCGATAGAAAATAACGTGTGGTGTTGGCCTGTAGCGCGACTTTCGACTACAGCAGTAATCAGAACGAAAAATGAATCGGAAATAACTGTAGAGGAAAATCAAGTGATTCGCCTTCAATGCAAATCCTCAACTGATGCACTTAGCCTAGGGAAAAATGATTACCTTCTACATGCTTTGCAAGCAATTATTTTAAATGCGCCAAAGTTATTAGCAAAAATCACTGCCTGAGCTATGCACCAATGTCTCCCGTGAAATGCAGAAAAAATCTTTGCTTAAAGTTACCTGATCTTGGCAATACAACTCAATTTGTTCTTCAATATTGGCTGGTATTGTTGGAGGCAACAGCTGTGCCGTCAGACTTCCGTTTTCGGCATAATTTATGTCCGTAACGTTCAAAATTTTTTCATAAACATGTTCCATCACTTTTCGTACTTGAAGCATTTCTGTCGCACTCAAACGATCTCTTAAAGAAAAAAAAAAATCTCCAAAAGAGGCATGCAGCAAGAATATATCTGTCCCGTCGAGATTTTCACATCCCGTCGGTTTTGTGGAAAATCAAAGCAGCTAAGAAACTTCAAAAAAGCAGTGAACAAGTTGAGATGCTTTTTGCCAATGATGATGAGTACAGTGTGTGAAACGTACGAAGATCGCAAGGTCTGCTTGCCGTGTTGAAAAATAAATCTGGAGCTGATGGATTAACCAAGAAATTGGATGGAAAATGAATACTGCATAAAGCCCGACATGAAACTGGAGCAGCAAAAAGACCAATTTGTAAGTGCACACGTCTACTTGAAGTAAACTGAACGTACGCGAGTAAACAGGATGGATTGAATTCACCAAATTTCGTAAAACCTCGAACAAACTAAGATGGTTTCGCATAAAAGAAGAACTTCTCAGTATTATCATCCTCTCCGCATTACTTTAAGGATATAAATGTGCAGTGCCACTAACTTAGAATAAAAGAGGCTACTAGTATGAAATAACGGTCAGTGAAAAGACAAATTTTAATCCAACATTGTGCAACACAACCAACGATGAGCTGCAATCATGTTCTGTTGTAAAAAACAAAAAAAGAAATGTATGCCAAGAAGAGAGACAGATCTTGCGGTCT